TGCTCTTTGCGAGTTTTCACTAAGAAGACTCTCTCATTTTCAATTTATCTGCTTACCATCGCTCTATGGTGCCCGTGTAGGTTTTCACCAATAAGACTCTCTCATTTTATTTCTCTCATTTGATTGTATCAGATCCAAGTAACCATATCCTCCAATTTTGAACATTTTTACCGATTGATCGGAAGGGCTTGAACAGGACTTGGGGTGAAAAGAATTTGGATTGAATTGCAACTTTGGAACTTTTCAGGAAAAAACTATTGCCGAACCAATATAACTTCTGCCCCAGTTTTAACTTTGGGGAAATATAGATTTTTGTTATGGTGTGACTGAACCCCAGAGAGGCTGCCTATGTGTCCTTTCGGAATCAAGTCGAACGTAGTTCAGGGAAATTTGTTTTTGATTTTCTTTTTCTTTTTGTTGTTATTTTTTTAACAATATTTTCGGGTTCCAAAGAGGGTAATCAAAGAAGGTGACTGGCTCAAAGGGTTTGCGAAGGGTTGACAGTGTTTGGGTAGCAAGAATGAAAGCCTTCGTCGTCCCAGTCGGAGAATATTAGCGCCGCAGAAGGGTTAAACGTAATACCTTTTGACCGCGTCCGCATTGACAGCTGTTTCGGGGTCATTTCCTTCATTGTCTCCTAAGTACAATGCCCCTTTCGGCAACAATTTCCTTATAATGTACGGACCTTTCCCATTTGGAGCGAACTTTCCTTTTGCTTCCTTATGATGGCGGGAGAATATGCCTCAAGACGAGTTGCCCCACTTTAAAATTTCTGGGCCGCACTTTCTTGTTATTGGCGCGGGCTATTCTTTGTTGATACAACTGCCCGTGGCAAACAGCAGCCATCCGCTTTTCATCAATCAGGGTTAACTGTTCTAGACGGGTCTTGGCCCATTCATTGTCCTCAATCTCAGCTTCAATGATGATTCGAAGAGAGGGAATTTCAACTTCTGCGAGTATTACGGCTTCGGTGCCATAAACTAATAGATAGTGTGTTACTCCAACTGATGTGCGCACAGTTGTACGGTATCCCAATAATGCAAAGGCAACTTTTCATGCCATTGTCTAGAACTTTGAATCATTTTCCTGAGGATCTTTTTGATGTTTTTGTTCGCTGCTTCAACAGCACCATTAGCTTTGGGCCGATAAGGGGTAGAATTCCAATGCGTGATCTTAAATTGTTCGCATACCTCCCTCATCAAATGACTGTTCAAATTTGCAGCATTGTCCGTAATGATAATTTTAGGAATACCAAAATGACAGATAATGTTAGAATGCACGAAGTCCACCACTTCTTTCTTGATGACGGCTTTGAGAGTGACTGCTTCAACCCACTTTGTGAAATAGTCGATGGCGACTAAGATGAATCTGTGCCCATTTGAAGCTTTTGGCTCGATTGGCCCAATGAAGTCCATACCCCAAGCAACGAACGGCCAGGGTGCCGATATAGGATGCAATTTTGGAGGTGGTGCACAAATCAGGTCACTATGTACCTGACACTGATGACATTTTCGGACAAAACTGAAACAATCCTTTTCCATGGTCATCCAGTAATAACCTGCTCGAAGGATTTTCTTTGCAAGGACGTGTCCATTCATATGAGGTCCGCATACTCATGCGTGTAATTCATTCATGATTCTTCCGGCCTCTTGGGCATCCAGGCATCATAAAAGGTTCATATCTGGAGTTCTTTTATGCAAAACTTCTCCGCTCGAGAAGAAATTACTGGCGAGCCTTCTAATGGTTCTCTTTTGGTCTCCACTAGCTTGTTCGGGATATTCCTTTGTTTTCAAGAATCTTTTGATATCATGATACCATGGATGAATATCTGGTTCCATTTCAACTGTATTGAAATAACCATGTCTTTCTCGGATTTCGATTTCCAGTGGGTCAATGTGGACATTGCCTGGATACGGCAGCATTGAAGCCAAAGTGGCTAGTGCATGAGCTAACTCATTGTGGAACTGGGGGATATACCTGAACTTGACGGATTTGAACCATTTGCTAAGATTTTCTACACGTTGCCTGTATGGAATAAGCTTGATATCTCGAGTTTCCCATTCACCTTGAGCTTACGAATAATCAAATCAGAGTCTTCCATGATTAACAATTCTTCCACATCCAGGTCAACTTCCATGTTCATACCCATAATGCAAGATTCATACTCAGCAGTGTTGTTTGTATAGAAGAACCGAAGCTGGGCTGTAGCCGGATAGTGCTGACTAGTGGGCGAAATCAAAATTGCCCCAATCCCGACACCTTTTGCATTCACAGCTCCATCAAAGATCATTTGCCAAGCATTGGTGTCTTCTGGAATTACCTCAACCGAACTTACCTCCTCGTTTGGAAAGTAAGTACTCAAGGGTTGATATTCATCATCAACAGGATTCTCAACTGGGTGATCCGCCAAGGCTTGAGCTTTCATTGCTGTGCGGGTGACATAGACTATGTCAAACTCGGTAAGTAGGATTTGCCATTTTGCTAACCTCCTGGTGGGCATTGGCTTTTGGAATATGTATTTCAAAGGATCCAACGTAGTAATGAGATAGGTGGTATAAGCCAACAAGTAATGCCTAAGCTTCTGAGCGACCCAAGTTAGAGTGCAGCAAGTTCTTTCCAGCAAAGTGTACTTGGCTTCATAACTAGTGAACTTCTTGATCAAATAGTATATGGCTTGTTCTTTCTTGGTTCTCGGAGGGGGCAAGTCCCGAATAGACTTTATCTTTGTTGGATCTAGCTCGATGCCCCTCCGACTGACTATAAACCCTAAAAGTTTCCCAGATAGTACTCCAAATGCACACTTAGCTGGATTCAACTTCAAGTCATACTTACACAGGCGCTCAAAGAACTTTCTCAAATCTCGCACATGGTCATCCTACGTTCTGGATTTAATGATCACATCATCCACATACACCTCAATTTCCTGGTGCATCATGTCATGAAAGATGGTAGTCATAGCTCTCATGTAATTTGCCCCGACATTCTTTAAACCAAACGGCATGACCTTGTAACAGTAAGTACCCCAAGGTGTGGTGAAAGCCATCTTTTCTGCGTCTTCTTCATCCATCAGAACCTGATGATATCCAGCATAGCAGTCCACAATAGACTGTATCTCATGTTTGGCACAGTCGTCAACAAGGATGTGGATGTTTGGTAATGGAAAGTTTTCCTTGGGGCTTGCTTTGTTCAAATCCCGATAATCAACACACACTCGGTTTTCCCATCTTTCTTTGGCACTGGACCACATTAGCCAACCATGTGGTGTATCGGACCACTCGGATCACGCCCACTTGCAACTGTTTTGTGACTTCTTCTTTGATCTTGTCACTGATGTCTGTTTTAAACTTTCTCTATTTTTGTTGGACAGCGGGATAACCGGGGTAAGTTGGCAATTTGTGCACCACTAAATCAACACTCAGTCCTGGCATATCATCATAGGACTAGGCAAACGCGTCTTTGAATTCGAACAAAAGTTGGACCAATGTATCTCTAGTTCTTTCATCAGCGTGAATGCTTATCATGGTTTCCTGGACCTCTTCCTGACTACCCAAATTAACTAGCTCGGATTCATTTAAGTTTGGCTTAGGCTTATTCTCAAATTGTTCCAGTTCTCGATTTATTTCCTTAAAAGTCTCATCTTCATCGTATTCCGGTTCTTGGTTCATTATTTCACAGTTAGACAGCCTATTAAGATCTGGGCAAGAAGTTCGCAAGCATGTCATGTTTTAAGTCCACATTATTAGAACTGAAAAGAGAGATAAGAAAAATAACAAAAATCAGAAAGAATAAAGAAAGAGATACATAGACGATGAAATATTGATTTCGTTTCATTGAATTTGAAGATAGGAGGGTTTACATTGGAAATTTAAAAGACAATAAAACAAAAACATTCGAGTTACACCCTGAAATAACTCGGAATGCAAAAAAGATGGCAAGACCGAACTACCGAGATTCCTGCCTGACTGGGAGTGTAGTAGCCTTCCAATTTTGAAGCTTGGCATTCGGCCCCACATATTGCACCTCAGCGGTGCTTGAGCCTTCACTCGACTGGACCATATGAGCCTCATATAACATTTGCCTCATCGCTCCACAAATATTCTCAATTTCTTCGGCCGTGAAGGCCTCATCTTCTTCTTCTATGTACCTTGGCTTAACAAACATCTGGAGAGATGCGGGACCGGCTGAGGCAGGACCCACCCATTGTTCTTACGTTCATTAGCCCTTGTTGCATCAGCTTCTGTAGCTTGGAAACCTACGCCAAAGATTTTCTCATTGGCAGTTAGAGTGATGGGCTTCATGATGCCTTGCAAAGATACCCCGAGCTCTTTCCCGGGCTTGTACCCGTGTTTGATCATTTCAGTGGAGACCATGATTGACGCGTTTGACAAGAAGGGTTGAGGACACGGGGTTCTCTCCTCACACTGGTCCGCGACCACGATCTCAAAAGCTTGGTAGACTATGTTCTCACTACCTTCTTTAGCCTCCAGACAGGGAACTAACGGGTCCATGTAGATTGATTTCTCATCTTCTCCGTGGACCATGATTTCTTGGTCTTCATGTTCAAACTTAACCATTTGGTGGAGAGTAGAAGGTACGGCTCTTGCAGCATGGATCCAAAGCCTTCCTAGGAGAAAATTGTAGGAGGTGTCCATGTCCAAAACCTGAAATGTTCAAAATCCACAGGGCCAATGGTTAGGATCAAATCAATCTCCCCTATTGTGTCCCTCTTGACGCCGTCAAAAGCACGTACACAAACATTGTTGGGTCTAATCCTTTCAGTCCCAATTTCCATTCTCTGTAAGGTCGAGAGAGGGCAGATGTCAACCCCAGATCCGCCATCAAACATAACTTTTTTCACGTAGTATCCTTCACACTTAACGGTCAAATGAAGAGGTTTGTTGTGGGCAGCCCCTTCTGGAGGCAAGTCATTTCGGCTGAATAAAATCCTGTTGACTTCGAAAAATCGTTCCGCCATTCTTTCCAATTGTTAACCCGTGGTTCTAGACCGCATTAAGCGTCTTTAACAGCGCTTTCTGATGCTCATTCGAGCTTATCAACAGGGACAAAAGTGAGACCTGAGAGGGGGACTTCCTGAGTTGATCAATTATAGCGTAGTCTGAGGTTTTCATCTTTTGAAAGAATTCCTCTGCCTCCTCAGCACGGACTGGCTTTATAACCGGAAAACGCTTCTGCTTGGTTTTGTTCAATTCTTCCAGGTTGAGGTACTTCCCAGACGGGTTCGTTTCATTCACTTCCCCCATGATTTCCTTTCCCTTGTACGTCACCACAGCTTTATTGTAGTTCCACGGGACGGCAGTGGGGTCCTTCATGGGATTCTGTGGTGCGCGGCTGATAACCACGGGCTCAGTCAGCCTGGGTGAAATTAGCGGCCCCCGCACCACATAAGTCCCCTTTGGTACGTACATCTTTAGTACCTTAAGCGTGACATTATTTTGCTCAAACCTTTTGGGAGGACTCAACACAAGTTGTTCCTTCCTAGGGGCTCTGGGACCATAGAGAATGGCATCTTTAGGAGGTACTGCCCATGTCTTGGCTTCCACAGCCTTTTCTATGCTTTGAGGAGTGGAGTTGCTCTTCTTCTCATTCATAGCTGGATTCGCTGCCGCTTTGGGTTTCTTTTCTACGTCGGCAATAGCAATGATAGCTTTCAAAGCTGGGTCAAACTCTTTGTCCTTAGAGATTATCCCAATAGCTGGCCCGTTGTTGTGAGCCGACAATGGGTTATTGGTTACATCGGGGACTTCCTCATCTCTCAATACTACCCGCTTTTGTTCTATCGATTCTCGACCGTCCTCTTAAGGGTTTAGCAGTCTTCAGTGTCGTGCCCTTCTGTCCCTAAAAGATAAGCACATCGGGTACCTGGTCGGTAGGAGGGTGACTCTGGGTTTAGCCTTTTTGGAGGTACGGGCTGTAACAAGCCCATTTGGACTAATTTTGGAAAGAGATTGGAATATGATTCACCAATGGGTGTGAAGTTAGTTTTTCTGGGTGGTTCACGGGGACGGGCATTATATGGGTAATTATTCTGTGGTGGACGTGGATTATATGGGGCTTGGTGAGGAGGGTTGTTTTTGGGAGGTGGAGCTCGATTCTGATTATAATGTTGTTGCGGCCGGGCATATGGCTGGGCGTTCATTACTGCAGAGGGATGAGGAGTCATAGCGTATGCCGCATCTTGGTGGGGTAGTAAAGTTGGAGGGTGCTGGAAGGGGAACCAAAGTAACCTCGGGGTTGATGAGGATTTCTCAAACTTGAAGCCATCATTGCTTCCTCTTCTTTCTTTTTGCGATTTGCTACACCCCCTGACCCGCTCTGGATATCTTGGGAAGTGGCTCTTATAGCTGATTGGCTCATGATGGGACCCGTTTTCAAGCCATTTTCCACCATTTCTCCAATCTTTATGGCCTCTGCAAACGGCTTACCCATGGCAGACATCATGTTTTGGAAATAATCGGCCTCTTAGGCTTGTAAGAAGACATTGACCATCTCAGTCTCATCCATTGGGGGTTTCACCCTGGCCACTTGTTCACGCCATTTGATAGCATACTCTCAAAAGTTTTCTGAAGATTTCTTTTTGAGATTGGAAAGAGAATTTCTATATGGAGCTATGTCCATATTGTACGGGAACTGTCTGACAAAGTCTCGGGCCAAGTCATCCCATATGTGCCAGTGGGAGATGTCCTGGTCCGTATACCATTCGGATGCGATTCCAGCTAAGCTCTCTCTAAAGTAAGCCATCAACAGTTCTTCCTTTCCGTCTGCCCCTCTTAATTGATTACAGTATCTTTTCAAATGGGCAATCGGGTCTCCATGCCCGTCATACTTTTCGAATTTTGGCATCTTAAAGCCGATGGGCAGATGAACATGAGGAAACATGCATAGGTTGGCGTAGGAAACACTCTTCTGGCCATTCAGGCCTTGCATGTTCTTGAGACTCTGTTTAATGCTTTTCATTTTTCGAGTTATCTCTTCTTACTCGGGGTTCTTTACAGTCTTCTCTTGTTCCATGAAAGACTCATACCGAGGGTGCTGTGGGTAAGAGTTTGGGGTGACATGAGCCGTGTCCAGTTGAAATTGTGGTACTTGGAAAGTAAAGGCTGACGACTCAAAACATGGCCTTGGCATTGTTGGCTGTGCAGTAGTTGAGGTTGGTGGTGCGGTGAATATGGTAGAAGATACTCCCGAAAATAGTGCCTGGGGGTGAACCTCAGATTGCGTTCCGGTGAGATGAATTGACATAGTAGGGTACCCGAACGGTGTGAACGGATTAGTTATAGGGACATTGAAGGTTCCACTCATTCTAGAAATTAGTTCGGGAAATCCAGGGATTGCACTTGGTGGTTCTCTACCGTTAGACCAGGCGTCCCACATTTCCAACATGCGGAGACGCAGTATTCTGTTTTCTTCAGCAGTTGCTGACTTTGAGGTTGGGATAACTGATGCTGGGCTATCCTCTGATGGGTTAATGATTGGTAGGTGACTCTCTGATGTCATTTCAACACTCCCTTTAGATCTCGTGAAATAAGGGTGCGAAGCCAGGTTACCACAAAACCAACCACCTAAAACAAAACCTGTTCTCAATAGCATACACAACAAACCGGTTAGTTTGAGACTACATGCTTTGCAATAGTTGCGTGTCTCATCGCGGCTTTTGTTACCTCCCGGATCTTTGAATCTTTTTCTTTTCTTTACGCTTTTTCATTATTTTCTCTCTTTTCTTTGCGCTCTCTCTTTTGCATTGTTTTCTCTCTCTTTTTCTTGTGCCCTCTTTTCATCATTTTCTCTCTTATTTGAGTTATATACAGCAATGACCGAATTCGATGGGGATTGCCTAGGTATCGCAATGCCGCGCGAATCAGATCATTACGTAGTTCAGGGGATAAATGCAAAATAAAAGAATGAAACATTTTTTTGGGTTTTCAAATTTTCATTAAATAAAAGTTCTGGTTCTGCTCCATTATAAAGACTCCGACATACAGACTTAAGAACTAAAAACCAAAACAGACTCAAAGTAGTCTAACAGACTCTAAAGAAACTGAAATACAGACTCGAAAAGAAAAAATCAGGAATACATAAGTGCCTCTAATACTACTCCAGGGGCCCGCGGGACATTAGTCTGTCTCGACATGGGCCTACGTGCAATATCTTCTTGGAGGCGATCCAGGTCGTCCATTCTCTGGCGAACAAAACAGCAGCGAAGAAAGTGGATCTAGTCATATCCTCGCACTCATGGCATTTCATGACAATATAATCAGCAATTCCTCTAATCCTTTCTCTAATGATGCCTTTCTCTTGGAGTAGGTGCCCAATTTGTTGAGATCTAGCTTCCAGAACTTGGGTGTCCGTGTGGCTTTGCTCCTGCAACAGTCGCATGTCCTCTTCCAGTCGAGACATCAATGAATAACAATGTTCTATTTCTGCCTTGAAGTTCTTTGTTTGTTGAGCCATTTCATTCTCAAGGGTAGTTAGCTTTTTCTTTAAACTGGCGACCTTTTTGTCATACTTTCCTTTTAATTGCTGAACAAACCCTGTCTGTCCTTCCGCGTTCTTTGCCAACTTTGCCCGGGCTCTTGCTAATTCATCTTCGGCCTTTTCCAAATCAGTCCCATACTCACATACTTTCCGCTTGATACCGTTTATGAGTTTTTCATCTGCTCTGCTTCTTCCTTGGTTTTCAGCAGCTATTTTCATTCTTTGGATCTGGGCTTGGAGGGCTTCATTTTCTCGGGCTAATTTCTTCTTCTCCCCTTCATCCGCAGCGGCCTGTAGACTATTATCAAATTTAAGGTCTCTAATTTTCCCCTCTAATTTGCTTATGGTAGTTTTGTATCTTTTCTCCTTAGCTAACCAGTTCCATTGCTCTTGCACTTTATCAGTGAACTGTTGCACATGGGGCCTTTTGGCAGGCCGTTCAGGCTCTTGATGGACTCGAACCCTTTTACCATACCAGACAGTGTAGCTAGGCTCTACCTCACCCTTGGACAAATCCCATACTTGAGTCTGTGGCTCCAGAAACCTACATTGATGCCAAATCTGGCGAACCTTTTCTTCCTGGAATATAGCTTTTGGACATAGTTCAATGACTTGTCGACTCAAATCTTCATCACGTGGGACAATTTGGTACCTGCCCAGCTGGCGTAGAACCCTGTGTGGAGCTTATGACTGAATACTCCAAAGACCCATTAATAAAAGAAAACACACTCCGGCCGACATATAAATGACTTCAGTGACCGGGAGCCAACCGAACGTCCACTCAATTTTGCTTGAAGTCAAGGAACCCAAATGTGCAAACCATTCCTCTGTACCTTCTGGAAACTCATGACCATTTATCCAGTTTTCATGTTCCTCAATGCAGTTGAGACCAGTCAGACCATATTTCATGTACCCCGGACGATGGCAAAGATGTTCTTCCATCCAGATTTGTAAAAGCAAGTTGCAACCTTCAAAAAACATTCCCCCAGCTCAACAAACAGTTAAAGCTCGATAAATTTCTGCTAGGATCATTGGTATGATAGTGCCATTGGGCTATTTGATCTTAACATCAGCCATTCCTGCAAGCCCCAACTCTATATGTCCGTCGCTCCTTGGGCAGATTAGGGTGCCTAAAAATGCCACTACAAAGGCCAATCCTCGGCATGCTTCCCATTTGCCTTTATTCCCTTGATGGCTTAAACCGGCATCCGGAGCCTCAAAACCGTGGGGGTCCCCATAACGGCGGTATAGGAAGTAGAATGTGCAGAATTCCTCAGCTAAATTTCCATCTTTGACTTCCCGGCTAATACATAGAAGGTCCAAAAACTTGTGAGGTGTTACAGCTCTTGGTGCTAATGGGTATCGACTCCTGAGATTCCCGTTAAGGCCAGCATGACCTGCTATCTCCTCAAGTGTAGGGGTTAGCTCAAAATCAGAGAAATGAACACATTGTGCGCCGGGTCCCAAAACGGTATCAAAGCTTCAATTATGTCCACCCTCAGTTTAATCTTTAAGAGACCGGTGAGCCCGCCTAAAGCCTTTATCGCAACACCTCTGCTGACCTCCCCTAGGTCATTCCACCACATATGGAGTCCTATCGGGATTTCCTCTACAACTTTGAAAGGTACATTTTCAATAGTGCTCATCCTGCACATTTATTTAATGTGATCGGTTAAAAAAAAACCCATGATTTATTTTGACCCAAAAAGAAGATTATTATTTTGCAAAATTTGCAACTCAAACATCTTGCTTAAAAATCACCTTTGCAAATACGGCCCTTCAGCACTTCAGGAAGGAAGATTTTAGGGCTGTGTTTGCTAATTGGCCAAAAATTTGAAAAAAGACCATAGGTGGCTATTCTCTCAAAAACAGCCTCCCGGCGCCCTATCGGGACATTTCTGGCTATTTAGACAAAAATGGCATCACCTAACTTTATTTACGACAAAGATGACAACATTTCCTATTTTGGGTTACTTTTGCGAAAATGGGGTTGGACCCGATGAGGGTTGCCTACGTATCCCACATCCGGTGAGAATCAAACCTGCGTAGTTCGGGAAGTTTTGACGCAACAGAAAAACATGAAATATTTTGAAACAATTTTACCTTCCTTTCTTTTTTCCTCTTTTTTTTTCTTTTTTTTTTTCAAAATTTCGGCAGAGTTTCGGTATATTTTGGACAATAGATTTTTCAAAGGCGGGTAATTATCTCTCTCATACATCAATTCGATTTTTCTCAACTTTTCTCCCTTATTCTAGAAGTCGGTCAACATGCAATCCGAAGCAAATAAGTGTACAAATAGCAAGTAAAATGCATCAGGATGGTCTTTTGTTTCGGGTGCACCTGTCCTAGACAGACCCAACCCCTATGTTGAGTCCCCAAAGTCAAATGCACGTGATGCAAACACACGTTCTTACTAGGGATCCGTTATGAGGCTATGTTATTCTAGGTTTAAAAACCTGGGTGTATTGTTCTAGACCTGGCTTACTCGAGCCGGGAGGGGGGGGGGGAGCGTACCGGGAATACAGAAGCTTCACCGGCTTTGCAACTTGTCCGAACCTCGTTCTAAAATTGGGATATGACTCTAAAAGAAAAGAAGTCACAGGAAGTGCACACTTCCCAGAAGATTTAGAAGACTCAGAGAGAAGAGGGTTTCGTAATAGTTTTATATACAGTTCAAACAATATCAAAGCAGTAAAAAGCGACATTTAGCACATTAGGATCAAACACGTAAAAATCAGATAACAAAAATACCAACTACAACAGTTATTCTAAGCTCGAATTCTGAACCCTGAACCAGAAGTTTTGGGTTCTTATTCCCCAGCAGAGTCGCCAAAGTTGTCACACCTCGTTTTTACCCGCAGGGGGATTAGGGAAGTTTTTCCAATTAAAGTGACATTATTCGAATTTGGAATTATTTATTTTTCAGAGTCGCCACTTGAAATAGTTTATTTGGT